CCATTTTACCCTTAGTTGTCTCCAAGTCCGACTAGGACCCGGTTAGTGATCTGGACCTCCGGGTTTAGGTCGTTACAGATTTGGTATCAGAGTAAAGGTTTGAAAACCTTTAGGATGCCGGGTAATGGCTTACCTAGATGGGGTGAAGAATTTACTTGGATTAACTATGTGTTTCATGCTAAAGTGTTTAATGTTTTGAGAAGCATGCTTACTTGTTACATTCTTATGTGTTTAAAGGATGAAGAATTTGTTACATGGCCATGTAAATAAAATGCGTATGTGAAGTAAAGCACATATATGAAATGTTTATATGTGAAATATGTATGAGATTTAGAAGCATGTATATAAGATGCTTACAAAATTATTAGGAAAACTCATTGTGATACCCCTTAATTTTTATATATAAGTTGGCTAGGCTTATACATAAAAATTAGGAGACATCAAGTACTTAGTAATAAACAAATACAGAATACAATATACAATAATGAAAGAAATAATGGCGAAATGAAAAACTATCATTAAATGAAGCTTAAATCCATAATCTTAGTTATTACAACTCGGGAATCCCGTAAACTAGGGACTCCTAAATCCAAATCCAAATCAAAATCCATAAAGTCTGGAAGAATTCTACTGTGAACCAAGGTTTTGCTACCGGTTCAAAGATTCTCCTACCGGTTCCCAATGGACAGAAGTGAAATCTCTGTTTCCTTCAATCTTCTGAACTCCCTAAAGTGTTCTCACTCAATCACATACCTTCCTAAAACATTGTTATCATCATCTCGGAATGTAGTATACCATGAACACTTGAATTTCTTCAAATTCGCATCTGATCTTCAATCTTGAATTTTTAGAACTGAAAAATTATGACTCGATCGGACTTGTTTTGACAACGAAATTAGCCAATTATAAAATATATCTCACAGATTTGTTTTCAAAAGCCCAAAGAGTTTGATCATGATAGCTCTCTGCTTCGGACGTAGTTCAAATAACATAACTAGAGCATTGCCAAGAACAAGAGGATAGATTTAAGGGGTAGATACTTGCTCATCTTAGCTTGTCCTCTAGTTCTAAAATCTAATTTTTAATTTATAGAGTATATATATTTGTGTCACATATCGATATAAAATATTTGTTCCTATTGGCAGTCAAAGAGACAGACAAGAATGCAAAGGAATAGATTAAGGATAGAATTGAATAGAGAGAGATTGGGGGTATGGAAATGGACCAGTGGGATTGGGGAAATAAATTTGTGGCAAAGATATAAGAAAGAATGGAAATGGTGAGTAGTGGAGGAGGACGGCGGCCACAACGAGCTTAGGAGAATGATGATTAGGGTTTCAGATACAGGTTGGGTTCGATTTTACCCGTAAAAAGATAGGAAATGCCCATTTGAAACTATTTTAATTTTACACGTGTCTAAATTTTATAAGAGATGAAGTTAGTCCTCCTAGGGGAGAACCCAAGCTTTGTCCTTTTTTTATTAGAGTAATGATACAGTAACTGAACGAAAATCACCAAATGGGCACCGAAATTGACGTGCTTTGCCATATCATATTTTCTTGTTCATGTTTCTTAGAGTTTCTAACCCAAGTTTTTGCCCTTATCTTTATTACATAACCCATTTTCCTTTATCTTTATTACGTACCCCCATTCCTCTTTCTCTTTCCAAAATTCTCTATTTTGCGTATTCCATGGCCACCATCTTCTCAATTCAAATATTTAACCCTTCAACTACTTATTATTATTATTTTTTTTTGTCTTCTCTCTTTGAAGAACACCAGACCAAGTTAATAAGCCACCATGATATAGACTAATAAACCTATTTTGATGAAGTTTAGAGATCCAGGTTTGCGTGCAAGATTTTAGAGAGAAAGAGATGGATAAATTTTTAAAGAGAAAAAATGATTACAGAGGAAGAAAATTTAGATAGAGAAAAGGTACGGTGAAGAAAATTTTCATAGAGATAGACAGGAGATGGGTAAATTTTTAAATAGAGAAAAAGTTACAGAATTTGAAAGGGATGGAAAAGAGAGAATTTAGACCCAAATTTGAGAGAGAGTGAAGAGAATGTCAGTCGAGAGAGATGGGTGAGCAATTTGAGAGAGAGTGAAGAGAATCGTAAAGAGAGAAAAATGAAGGGTATGAAAAGAAAATAAGACTGAACATGAGGGTATCTTTGTCATTTGCAGTTTTTTTTTTTTTTTGAGGAAGCTTTAAGTAGATGACGTGGTTGATTCTCACCACGTTAGGTTCGGTGCCTATTTGGGGATAAATGTTCGATGTTTCTATCATTATTCTTTTTATTATAATGATAGTAATTATCAAAATATTTATAGTGGGAGTTGATTAATTAAAATGAATACTTGGGGGAGTTGAGACATGTTTTTACAATCATAGGATACTTGGGGGAGTTGATCAATTAAAATGGAAGTCCAATTTTTGTTTCAAAGCAGCTTGGGAGGTGTGTAGAAGTCCAAGACATAATGTTTGCTGGTATGGTTTATGCTGGAGTGGGGGGCGTCCAAGATGGTCTACTCATTCTGTTTTGGTCTTGCAGGAGGGTATTTTGACTCATAATTTTCTGCAAAATAAAGGTTTCTCTATTGTATCTAGGTGCTATTTATGTCTTAAGAGTGTGGAAACTCTGGATCATTTATTTTGCAGCTGTGATTTTACTTGGAAGGTTTGGAATGGTATCTTTGCCATAGTTGGATGGAATTTAAAAAAGGTCTTGGATTTGCAGAACTTGGTAATGGTATTTAATCAACGTTTTTTAGGAAAGAGTAACAAAATGTCTAGAATTTTGTTTACTGCGTTGTTATATTTTATCTGGATAGAAAGAAATGAGAGAATGCATAATGATATATGTAGAGATGCAATGGAATTAGCTAAGTGTATTATTTGGGATGTTCTTGATGTCATTGGGGTATGCCTTCAGGATATTTTGTAACCAATTTGTTCTTAGCAGTGCTTTCTTTTCTGCTCTTTCCTTTTTTAGGGTAGTTTATGATTTCTAAAGTGAGGGTATGCCTTCATTGTATTTCCATATACATTATTGTTTATAATTTTTTTATAAATATCCTTCATTCAGGAAAAAAAAAAAGAAAAAAAAAAATTTATAGTGGGTCCCATATATGAATATGATTGTTTATTTTTATAAGTTTAATAAAAGAAGATTAAATTGGTAACGTTACAAAACAAATAGTACTTTTGCTTTTCAAATGAGATATTTATTTTGGGACAACAAATAAATTTTTTATTTTTTATTTTTACAAGGCAAAAAATGTTAAAAGTTAAATTAATAAATGCAGAGGGATCTGAAGACAACCAATAATGAAAGGTGTACTTTTGTTTTTTTTGGGATGGAGTGAGTAGTATATATATATATATATATATTTAATTTTACTAATCAAATTTAATTTAAAATTAATACTCAACAAAGTAATTAAACAATTATTTTCTCAAATAGTCAATAAAATTAATTTACAATTACAAATTATAAAATTAAATAATGATGACAATTTACAAAATCTATACAATAATATATTATAAAATTATTCTATAAAATATAATCAGCTAAATTCTAAAATGATCAATGAACATATACATACATATATATATATATATATATATATATATATATATATATATATATATATAAATGACACAAAGTAAAAGAGATAAATAAAAATTATTAATGAAACTTTTCAATAGAAATTTAATTATTGATAGATGTATCTATAAACTCCTAAAACAATATTAAAATGAAGACTATTTTTTATTATTACAATTCACTAATACTTATTTTACTAATAAATATTATTCAACAAGTTAGTAAATATAATTATTGAATATTTTATTTATCTACTAAGACGTAAATATTTCTTTATATATTATTTTCTTGTCTAATTAAAGAGACTAAATTATTTATTTTCTTTCTTTTTGTATATTTTTTTTTGTCTAATTAGAGAGACTAAATTATTAATTTTCTTTATATATATTCTTGCCTAATTAAATTTTCTTTTATTAAAAAATTCATAATAAATAAGTAATTTGAGTTTTATAGAAACACTTCAAAACACCTTATATTAATTAAAAATAAATAAAAGCTCATAATAAATAAATAATTTGTGTTAGAATTTTATATAAACTATTTTAAAAACTCTTTGTATATAAATTAATAAATAAAATATATAATATAATAGTATAGATAGATATATTTGAAGGATTGGATCGAATCGGTTACACGATTTTCAATCCTAATCCGAGCGAACCCGAGTTGTGTTGCACAGACCATAAGAATTGTCGGATCAAATAAAAAATCCTAGCGGCCATATCATCATGTTGAATATGTCCTCATCCAGTTAACCCGATTTGTTATTCAATTCATGACAGGTATCACTCTTTTATTGAACTACATCATGTATTGTACATATATATTTTTTTTCTTCTTCTGGATAGTGTCTCCAATTTATCATTTATTATTATTATAAATATCTATCCTTATAAGACGAGACGAGGAAATAAAACCGGAGAGTGACAAGACGAGGAAATAAAACCTTGGACTCGTCCTTATTCTATTAGGATTCTAAGAACTTTCCTATAACAATTGCTTTCTTATTGGGAAAAGAATTATCACACACATATATATAGGTGAGTACAGCGTCATATCTTTACTCATTGTTCGTTTTTGGCATTGATTGTTCTATTGGTTTGCATCGCCCAGAGTTCAGGTGAGTAGTGATGAACAAATTTATGCTGGAATATTTCATGTATCTAGATATATTAATATATTTCTTTTTTGTTTATATAAATAGATAACACCAGATTTAGGTTTATAATTAATTCAAACTAAATCCAGATTTACCGCTTTGGGTGTTTCTTTTTCTTTTTTCTTTTTTTTTGTGAATCATTTAGTTTAAGATTATGAATGGCGTTCAGATTGTTGCCAATTAATAGTATTGTAGACATGGTGTAAGTTGATTTTTTTGACATTGCAGTGCTATTGGCTATGGAAATGAACTCATTATTGGAATCAGATTGGGCATGGCTTCCTAAGGATTTATTAGCTACGATTCTCGACAAACTGGTTTTGCTGTCCGATTATGTTCGCTTTGGTGTAGTCTGTAAAGAATGGCAGTATGTAGTAATGGAGAACAAAGTTGAATTCCTTCAAAAGAAGTGTTGTAGACAAGTTCCATTCTTAATGGTTCCTACAGAAGATAATAGGGAGGAAAGACGTAGTCTATACAGCATCACTCACAATAAATTATATGACTTTCAGTTACGGGTACCTTACACAAAGAGGCTTTTTGGTTCCTCACATGGTTGGTTATTTACTGTTAGAAGAATCATTTGCGTAACCCCTAATCAATCCATTCTCTGGCGATACCATTCAGCTTCCTCCGATTATGGACCGTGCAGAATTTGACCACGTTGAAGACTATATTGATATCGACCCCGAAATTGGATATTACGACACAACACCTGTTGAGGATGAAGTTGATTTTGAAGTTATGAAAGCTACAGTGTCTGCTGATCCTGTTTTATCTCCTAATGACTATATTGTTAGTGCTATCTATAGTGATAATAAAACACTGGCATTCTTTTAGCCAGGAGACAAAGCTTGGACTTACATTGATAGAGAGAGATTTTTCCTCATCCATGATGTCATATATTATAAAGACAATATTTTTGCAGTTGGTTATTGGAGTAGAATCATAATGGTTGATCTTAATAAAAGGGTTGGGGAGAGTATGGCTGCTCAAGTGAAGGTAATTGCACCAAAGACTGATGTTGTTTTTGATCGGACGTATCTTGTTGAATCATCTCGCGGGGATTTACTTCTTGTGCAAAGGAATATGGTATATGATGAACATAATGATTGTAAGCATGAAACTACAGGGTTTAAGGTTTTCAAGTTGCTCTTAGAGCAACTTGAACAGGGTTTGCCTAAGCGGGTTGAAATGAAGGGCTTGGACGGAGACGCCATGTTTTTGGGAGATAACCATTCAATTTGTATTTCAGCTTCCAAATGGCCAGGCTGCCAGCCAAATTCTATATACTACACCGATGATTATATTGACCTTCATTTCCATCCCCCATGTGGTCGCCGTGACAATGGCATCTTCAATGTAGAGAGTGGAAGCTTTGGGACACATTACACTCTTGATCCGTCACATAATCATATGCCGCCCTCAATTTGGATTTTGCCAACTATGTTAGGAAACTGACTACTACTATAATGAATGTCTTTTGGTTGAATCTAATTTGTTTAGTTCTTCTTTATTTTTATGTGCTGATACATACCTATTTTTTTCTCCGTTATATTAAAAATATAAAGATAATGTTTGTGAGAATAAAGGAAATATTGTTTGCGGTTGGTTCTATCTCTTTATGGTCATAAAATATGACAGAATCGAATTCAATTTTTTATTTTATTTTTTTCTTTTGGTAACAAGTAAATACTGGTATCTTTTTCTCTGTCAGCTCATGAATTATATTACTTAAAATCAGGGTTGGAAACACTTGAACGTTGCTTTATAATTAAACTGTCCTATACAATGCAATCCAGCTCTCTAACTGTTCGTTCATTCAAAACTTTGTAAGACCACATATTCGGTGTTTGGTAACAAGGAATATATTAATTCTCAGCCAATTTGATCCATAACAAGTGTGATTGGAAGAAAACTAAATAAGATAAAATTATCACTAACCACAAAACTATGTGACATTCATGAACGGCATAAATTGTATGAAGATACCATCAATCATCTTTTGCTGTCAACTTCCTCTTGTAAAAAAAAGGGACCAAACCGACCGGTTCGGTCCGGTTTGATTTTTCGGTTTCTTTCAGCTTTTGTACACTCCTTTTTCCTAATGTCTCTTTTTAGAATCATACTTAGTCGGATGATTGTCTCTTGGGCTTGGAGAAGTTTTGGTAGTGGCCAATACCTATTTAAGGAATGTTTAAAATGGAAAATTACCATTTGGAATCAGGTCTTCTTTTACGATTTCTTCAACGTACAAGCCGTACAGTACTCCCGAAATTTTCGGCCATTGAATGTGGTGGTGGGGCGGGATGATCCAATAGCTGAGAATCCAACAACTGGGAAGCTCAGGATACGGCATCCCGGCACTCGGAGTATTGTAGACTTTCACCTTCTCCTCATCCTTATAATAATCAATTTGAATTTGTTTGACCACAATCTATGCCAATGGAAGGAGTCACTAGTTAAACAGCTATTCAATCATGCAAAAAAATTAAAAAAAGAAGACATTTAACCAGTCTAATGCAGAGAGGATCCTTGCTATACCTACGAGTCAAGGGATACCGATTCCGAAATATGTAGTACATCCTTTAATGAAAACTCTTCATCTCCGTTGCGTGGGGATGTATCTTTGAAGCAACATAATTTCATTTCTATCTTTGGAAATCTGGTAATGATTTTTTTAATAAGAAACAATGGGCTGAACTGGATATTATTGCTTGAGCTTTATTGCAATTTCATGAGTTTTCTGAAGTTTCCATCCAGCTTGTTACAGAGGAGCTGTTCGAGTCAAAGGATACAATCTCATGACTCGGTTTTTACTGTCCAGTGCTTACTTGTTACATTCTTATGTGTTTAAATGATGAAGAATGTGTTACATGGCCATGTAAATAAAATGCGTATGTGAAGTAAAGCACATATATGAAATGTTTATATGTGAAATATGTATGAGATTTAGAAGCATGTATATAAGATGCTTACAAAATTATTAGGAAAACTCATTGTGATACCCCTTAATTTTTATATATAAGTTGGCTAGGCTTATACATAAAAATTAGGAGACATCAAGTACCTAGTAATAAGCAAATACAGAATACAATATACAATAATGAAAGAAATAATGGCGAAATGAAAAACTATCATTAAATGAAGCTTAAATCCATAATCTTAGTTATTACAACTCGGGAATCCCGTAAACTAGGGACTCCTAAATCCAAATCCAAATCGAAATCCATAAAGTCTGGAAGAATTCTACTGTGAACCAAGGTTTTGCTACCGGTTCAAGGATTCTCCTACTGGTTCCCAGTGGACAGAAGTGAAATCTCTGTTTCCTTCAATCTTCTGAACTCCCTAAAGTGTTCTCACTCAATCACATACCTTCCTAAAACATTGTTATCATCATCTCGGAGTGTAGTATACCATGAACACTTGAATTTCTTCAAATTCGCATCCGATCTTCAATCTTGAATTTTTAGAACTGAAAAATTATGACTCGATCGGACTTGTTTTGACAACGAAATTAGCCAATTATAAAATATATCTCACAGATTTGTTTTCAAAAGCCCAAAGAGTTTGATCATGATAGCTCTCTGCTTTGGACGTAGTTCAAATAACATAACTAGAGCATTGCCAAGAACAAGAGGATAGATTTAAGGGGTAGATACTTGCTCATCTTAGCTTGTCCTCTAGTTCTAAAACCTAATTTTTAATTTGTAGAGTATAATATATTTGTGTCACATATCGATATAAAATATTTGTTCCTATTGGCAGTCAAAGAGACAGACAAGAATGCAAAGGAAAAGATTAAGGATAGAATTGAATAGAGAGAGATTGGGGGTATGGAAATGGACCAGTGGGATTGGGGAAATAAATTTGTGGCAAAGATATAAGAAAGAATGGAAATGGTGAGTAGTGGAGGAGGACGGCTGCCACAACGAGCTTAGGAGAATGATGATTAGGGTTTCAGATACAGGTTGGGTTCGATTTTACCCGTAAAAAGATAGGAAATGCCCATTTTAAACTATTTTAATTTTACACGTGTCTAAGTTTTATAAGAGATGAAGTTAGTCCTCCTAGGGGAGAACCCAAGCTTTGTCCTTTTTTTATTAGAGTAATGATACAGTAACCGAACGAAAATCACCAAATGGGCACCGAAATTGACGTGCTTTGCCATATCATATTTTCTTGTTCATGTTTCTTAGAGTTTCTAACCCAAGTTTTTGCCCTTATCTTTATTACATAACCCATTTTCCTTTATCTTTATTACGTACCCCCACTCATCTTTCTCTTTCCAAAATTCTCTATTTTGCGTATTCCATGGCCACCATCTTCTCAATTCATATATTTAACCCTTCAACTACTTATTTATTTATTTTTTTTGTTGTCTTCTCTCTTTGAAGAACACCAGACCAAGTTAATAAGCCACCATGATATAGACTAATAAACCTATTTTGATGAAGTTTAGAGATCCAGGTTTGCGTGCAAGATTTTAGAGAGAAAGAGATGGATAAATTTTTAAAGAGAAAAAATGATTACAGAGGAAGAAAATTTAGATAGAGAAAAGGTACGGTGAAGAAAATTTTCATAGAGATAGACAGGAGATGGGTAAATTTTTAAATAGAGAAAAAGTTACAGAATTTGAAAGGGATGGAAAAGAGAGAATTTAGACCCAAATTTGAGAGAGAGTGAAGAGAATGTCAGTCGAGAGAGATGGGTGAGCAATTTGAGAGAGAGTGAAGAGAATCGTAAAGAGAGAAAAATGAAGGGTATGAAAAGAAAATAAGACTGAACATGAGGGTATCTTTGTCATTTGCAGTTTTTTTTTTTTTTTTTTGAGGAAGCTTTAAGTAGATGACGTGGTTGATTCTCACCACGTTAGGTTCGGTGCCTATTTGGGGATAAATGTTCGATGTTTCTATCATTATTCTTTTTATTATAATGATAGTAATTATCAAAATATTTATAGTGGGAGTTGATCAATTAAAATGAATACTTAGGGGAGTTGAGACATGTTTTTTACAATCATAGGATACTTGGGGGAGTTGATCAATTAAAATGGAAGTCCAATTTTTGTTTCAAAGCAGCTTGGGAGGTGTGTAGAAGTCCAAGACATAATGTTTGCTGGTATGGTTTATGCTGGAGTGGGGGGCGTCCAAGATGGTCTACTCATTCTGTTTTGGTCTTGCAGGAGGGTATTTTAACTCATAATTTTCTGCAAAATAAAGGTTTCTCTATTGTATCTAGGTGCTATTTATGTCTGAAGAGTGTGGAAACTCTGGATCATTTATTTTGCAGCTGTGATTTTACTTGGAAGGTTTGGAATGGTATCTCTGCCATAGTTGGATGGAATTTACAAAGGGTCTTGGATTTGCAGAACTTGGTATTGGTATTTAATCAACGTTTTTTAGAAAAGAGTAACAAAATGTCTAGAATTTTGTTTATTGCGCTGTTATATTTTATCTGGATAGAAAGAAATGAGAGAATGCATAATGATATATGTAGAGATGCAATGGAATTAGCTAAGTGTATTATTTGGGAGGTTCTTGATGTCATTGGGGTATGCCTTCAGGATATTTTGTAACCAATTTGTTCTTAGCAGTGCTTTCTTTTTTGCTCTTTCCTTTTTTAGGGTAGTTTATGATTTCTAAAGTGAGGGTATGCCTTCACTGTATTTCCATATACATTATTGTTTATAATTTTTTTATAAATATCCTTCATTCAGGAAAAAAAAAAGAAAAAAAAAATATATAGTGGGTCCCATATATGAATATGATTGTTTATTTTTATAAGTTTAATAAAAGAAGATTAAATTGGTAATGTTACAAAACAAATAGTACTTTTGCTTTTCAAATGAGATATTTATTTTGGGACAACAAATAAATTTTTTATTTTTTATTTTTACAAGGCAAAAAATGTTAAAAGTTAAATTAATAAATGCAGAGGGATCTGAAGACAACCAATAATGAAAGGTGTACTTTTGTTTTTTTTGGGATGGAGGGAGTAGTATATATATATATATATATATATATATATATATATATATATATATATTTAAGTTTACTAATCAAATTTAATTTAAAATTAATACTCAACAAAGTAATTAAACAATTATTTTCTCAAATAGTCAATAAAATTAATTTACAATTACAAATTATAAAATTAAATAATGATGACAATTTACAAAATCTTTACAATAATAAATTAAAAAATTATTCTATAAAATATAATCAGCTAAATTCTAAAATGATCAATGAACATATACATATATATATATATATATATATATATATATATATATAAATGACACAAAGTAAAAGAGATAAATAAAAATTATTAATGAAACTTTTCAATAGAAATTTAATTATTGATAGATGTATCTGTAAACTCCTAAAACAATATTAAAATCAAGACTATTTTTTATTATTACAATTCACTAATACTTATTTTACTAATAAATATTATTCAACAAGTTAGTGAATATAATTATTGAATATTTTATTTATCTACTAAGACGTAAATATTTCTTTATATATATTTTCTTGTCTAATTAAAGAGACTAAATTATTTATTTTCTTTCTTTTTGTATATTTTTTTTGTCTAATTAGAGAGACTAAATTATTTATTTTCTTTATATATTTTCTTGACTAATTAAATTTTCTTTTATTAAAAAATTCATAATAAATAAGTAATTTGAGTTTTATAGAAACACTTCAAAACACCTTATATTAATTAAAAATAAATAAAAGCTCATAATAAATAAATAATTTGTGTTAGAATTTTATATAAACTATTTTAAAAACTCTTTCTATATCAATTATTAATAAATAATATATATAATATAATAGTATAGATAGATATATTTGAAGGATTGGATCGAATCGGTTACACGATTTTCAAGTCATAATCCGAGCGAATTTCTAATCAAATTGTTTGATTAAAGACCCGAGTTGTGTTGCACAGACCATAAGAATTGTCGGATCAAATAAAAAATCCTAGCGGCCATATCATCATGTTGAATATGTCCTCATCCTGTTAACCCGATTTGTTATTCAATTCATGACAGGTATCACTCTTTTATTGAACTACATCATGTATTGTACGTAAATTTTTTTTCTTCTTCTGGGCAGTGTCTCCAATTTATCATTTATTATTATTATAAATATCTATCCTTATAAGACGAGACGAGGAAATAAAACCGGAGAGTGACGAGACGAGGAAATAAAACCTTGGACTCATCCTTATTCTATTAGGATTCTAAGAACTTTCCTATAACAATTGCTTTCTTATTAGGAAAAGAATTTTCACACACATATATATAGGTGAGTACAGCGTCAAATCTTTACTCATTGTTCGTTTTTGGCATTGATTGTTCTATTGGTTTGCGTCGCCCAGAGTTCAGGTGAGTAGTGATTAACAAATTTATGCTGGAATATTTCATGTATCTAGATATATTAATATATTTCTTTTTTGTTTATATAAATAGATAACACCAGATTTAGGTTTATAATTAATACAAACTAAATCCAGATTTACCGCTTTGGGTGTTTCTTTCTTTTTTCTTTTTTTTGTGAATCATTTAGTTTAAGATTATGAATGGCGTTCAGATTGTTGCCAATTAATAGTATTGTAGACATGGTGTAAGTTGATTTTTTTGACATTGCAGTGCTATTGGCTATGGAAATGAACTCATTATTGGAGTCAGATTGGGCATGGCTTCCTAAGGATTTATTAGCTATGATTCTCGACAAACTGGTTTCGCTGTCCGATTATGTTCGCTTTGGTGTAGTCTGTAAAGAATGGCAGTATGTAGTAATGGAGAACAAAGTTGAATTCCTTCAAAAGAAGGGTGGTAGACAAGTTCCATTCTTAATGGTTCCTACAGAAGATAATACGGAGGAAAGACGTAGTCTATACAGCATCACTCACAATAAATTATATGACTTTCAGTTACGGGTACCTTACACAAAGAGGCTTTCTGGTTCCTCACATGGTTGGTTATTTACTGTTGAAGAATCATTTGCGTTAACCCTAATCAATCCGTTCTCTGGCGATACCATTCAACTTCCTCCGATTATGGACCGTGCAGAATTCGACCGCGTTGAAGACGATATTGATATCGACCCCGAAATCGGATATTACGACACAACTCCGGTTGAGGATGAAGTTGATTTTGAAGTTATGAAAGCTACAGTGTCTGCTGATCCTGTTTTATCTCCTAATGACTATATTGTTAGTGCTATCTATAGTGATAATAAAACACTGGCATTCTTTCAGCCAGGAGACAAAGCTTGGACTTACATTGATAGAGAGAGATTTTTCCTCATCCATGATGTCATATATTATAAAGACAATATTTTTGCAGTTGATTATTGGAGTAGAATCATAATGGTTGATCTTAATAAAAGGGTTGGGGAGAGTATGGCTGCTCAAGTGAAGGTAATTGCACCAAAGACTGATGTTGTTTTTGATCGGACGTATCTTGTTGAATCATCTCGCGGGGATTTACTTCTTGTGCAAAGGAATATGGTATATGATGAACATAATGATTGTAAGCATGAAACTACAGGGTTTAAGGTTTTCAAGTTGCTCTTAGAGCAACTTGAACAGGGTTTGCCTAAGCGGGTTGAAATGAAGGGCTTGGACGGAGACGCCATGTTTTTGGGAGATAACCATTCAATTTGTATTTCAGCTTCCAAATGGCCAGGCTGCCAGCCAAATTCTATATACTACACCGATGATTATATTGACCTTCATTTCCATCCCCCATGTGGTCGCCGTGACAATGGCATCTTCAATGTAGAGAGTGGAAGCTTTGGGACACATTACACTCTTGATCCGTCACATAATCATATGCCGCCCTCAATTTGGATTTTGCCAACTATGTTAGGAAACTGACTACTACTATAATGAATGTCTTTTGGTTGAATCTAATTTGTTTAGTTCTTCTTTATTTTTATGTGCTGATACATACCTATTTTTTTCTCCGTTATATTAAAAATATAAAGATAATGTTTGTGAGAATAAAGGAAATATTGTTTGCGGTTGGTTCTATCTCTTTATGGTCATAAAATATGACAGAATCGAATTCAATTTTTTATTTTATTTTTTTCTTTTGGTAACAAGTAAATACTGGTATCTTTTTCTCTGTCAGCTCATGAATTATATTACTTAAAATCAGGGTTGGAAACACTTGAACGTTGCTTTATAATTAAACTGTCCTATACAATGCAATCCAGCTCTCTAACTGTTCGTTCATTCAAAACTTTGTAAGACCACATATTCGGTGTTTGGTAACAAGGAATATATTAATTCTCAGCCAATTTGATCCATAACAAGTGTGATTGGAAGAAAACTAAATAAGATAAAATTATCACTAACCACAAAACTATGTGACATTCATGAACGGCATAAATTGTATGAAGATACCATCAATCATCTTTTGCTGTCAACTTCCTCTTGTAAAAAAAAGGGACCAAACCGACCGGTTCGGTCCGGTTTGATTTTTCGGTTTCTTTCAGCTTTTGTACACTCCTTTTTCCTAATGTCTCTTTTTAGAATCATACTTAGTCGGATGATTGTCTCTTGGGCTTGGAGAAGTTTTGGTAGTGGCCAATACCTATTTAAGGAATGTTTAAAATGGAAAATTACCATTTGGAATCAGGTCTTCTTTTACGATTTCTTCAACGTACAAGCCGTACAGTACTCCCGAAATTTTCGGCCATTGAATGTGGTGGTGGGGCGGGATGATCCAATAGCTGAGAATCCAACAACTGGGAAGCTCGGGATACGGCATCCCGGCACTCGGAGTATTGTAGACTTTCACCTTCTCCTCATCCTTATAATAATCAATTTGAATTTGTTTGACCACAATCTATGCCAATGGAAGGAGTCACTAGTTAAACAGCTATTCAATCTTGCAAAAAAATTAAAAAAAGAAGACATTTAACCAGTCTAATGCAGAGAGGATCCTTGCTATACCTACGAGTCAAGGGATACCGATTACGAAATATGTAGTACGTCCTTTAATGAAAACTCTCCATCTCCGTTGCGTGGGGATGTATCTTTGAAGCAACATAATTTCATTTCTATCTTTGGAAATCTGGTAATGATTTTTTTTAATAAGAAACAATGGGCTGAACTGGATATTATTGCTTGAGCTTTATTGCAATTTCATGAGTTTTCTGAAGTTTCCAGCTTGTTACAGAGGAGCTGTTCGAGTCAAAGGATACAATCTCATGACTCGGTTTTTACTGTCCAGTACTGGTTCCCTCCGGTCCTCTACAGAGGAGCTTTTATGTTAGGAGTGGAAATTTAAGTGGTGGTTTGGTAATCAGCGGTGGGGATGGCTGTGTTATTATGGCGGCATTGTTTTGCAGAAGCTTTGTTCGTAACAATCCTTCGCTTTTGTTGTTAGTCAAGGCTAGGAGAATTTAACTATGGAAGGTCACTGTGGAAGGTGACAAGCTATAATAAGAGCTTTGATAGCATCTTCAGCAGTGCCTTAAAATGACATTTTTGTGTAAAATATAGTATATTTTTACACAAAAGGTATAAAAAATGACTGGAGTTTAAAATAATTAGTCTAAAATTTTTGTATAAATTTATTATGACACATCATATTTATACAAAATATATATTTACCATGCTCTATGGAGTCTTGACAACCTAAATTATTGTCCATGTCATTCAATATTCCTGAGAAATGTGACGGTGGAGATGAGAGATTTATGGGATTTGTTTCATATGGGTTGATATGGTGAGCTCGTTGATGGGACGATATTATAACTATATATTGTGTTATTGTGATCTCCATAGAAACCCCCATTAGTAATTTCATCTTCCATAAAAACAATTATATATATATAATAAAAATAAATAAATAAATAAATAACAGACATGGATGAGATACCCTACTTGAGCCATGCGAAATGGTAGTGGAATAATATTTTAAAAACACATAGAGGGGGTTAAATAGGTGAACTTGCTCATTCATTCAAATTTTAGTTTTATCTACAAAATTAAAATTATATTAAAATATAAAGCAAGTAAATAAATTAAGTGTACTGATACTTACACTAAAGAATTGCAGTAAATTGTCTAACCTAATAATTTTAATTAGTTATTTATGCAAAATACAAGCAAGTGAAAGGCCCCACTCTCTTATTTTTGGCATAGATGACCAATCAAAAATTATAGGTATCGCAATTCACTACAACAATTCAATGTAAAAATTATTTTCCATAAATTAAAGTTTAGAGAGACACCGTGGTTTTCGCGTGAAAACCTTTGTTGGAAGAATTTCAATCAATGGAGATGAATCACAACAGACATTGTTTCAGATTCACACCCACTCCCTTTTACGAAGAACTAGTTGTTGAACGGCTCTAGCTTTGCGACTCCCCGTCCAAATATCTCAACTTCAGGCTTACTCCTCAGTTCCTATAGAAGGGTAGCTAGAAGACGATGAACACTCCGTGAATGCTCTATTCTCTTTGTAGCTTGATCGAATCCTCTTATCTTCAAATTTGAATTTGTAAAGGTCAAACAAAAAAAACTGTTTTGCTAAACGGAATTTGTATGAATTTTCCATATTGATTAAATTCTTATCATATTGAGAATACAACCTAATAAGTGAAATAGTTTGTGCTCTCAAAATAGGAAAATGCACATAGGAAAATGATACATGCACAGAAGAGGTAAATAGATTTATTTGACCTAACCCATGTGGATATTTATGTGGATACGCCACGTCACAACATTTAAAATGGTAACGGTAACTACTACGTTTTTCTCTCTTTCCATTTTTTTATACTTTCTCATCTTCACCCCAAATAATCCAATCTCTGTCTTTTATTTTATTCTCTCTCTATGTTCTCCTTCTCTCTCTTGAGTTTTTCTCTCCCTTTTCTCATCTTCACCAATCTCTCTTAGTCATATCAGCCATTTTGCTCACACTACAGGATACCTTCATGTAACTGTAGATCCAGAGAGTTTTGATTAATTGTTTGTGATGATGCATACTTATAAAATTCCTTACAAAGAATGAATATTGATGGAGTCCAAAGTGATTTTGTTGGTATAAACTTTTAGTTGTTGAGACTCTTTGTATACTTTATGATAATAAAATCATCCCAACAAAATTAAATTGTATTGTAGAGAAATAGAATGGATGTTCGGGATGTTAATGGAGTTCAAAGTGATTTTTTGGGTACTAATCTTTTGGCTTTTGATTCTCCATATAATTGTATTACCTTTACCTTTTGGGTATCCTCACTCATTTTACAATTAGTAATAAAACTAAACCTATTGGGAGAATTTGTTTTTATTTTTTATTTTATTTTTTTAATTTATTTTTATTTTTTTTATCTTTGTGAGGTCTCCATGGACAAAATAGAAATCAGAGATATTTATGGACAAAAAATGGAGATAATTAAAGAAGGAACTAAATTCTTAATAGAAGAGGAACTGCTAGAGATGGAATAAAAAAAGAAATATTAAAGAAGGAACTAAATTTCTAATAGAAGAAAAAGAGATGGGGATCAGAAATAAAATTAGAAGTTCAATACTTTATAATGAGCCACATATATTCTGCCTAACAAATAGGTGAAAGTTTTATGCCTAATATATGGTCTAATTAGTTAATGGAATGAGAAAGAGGAAGGAGAAATTAGTTAATGGAATGAGAAAGAGGAAGAAGAAATGAAATATGCTATAAAAAGGTTGTGTAAAATACACAACAATTTTATACATTGGTGATGTGGCAGTATATCTTAATAGACTGCTGGAGATTAAAAAAAAAAAAAAATTACACATCATACGTGTTAATGTATATTTTACCCAAAATAGTGTTTTAACAATTGCTGGAGATGCTCTAAGTATAACTACTCATACACATAAGAATTTTCTGTGAAAAACAATAAAAAAAATTATTTTAATGTTTATTTTAACTATATTTTAGATTTGTTTAATTTATTTAGTTTGTTTATCCAAGGGTCTTATGTTTAATGTTTATTCACTCTCCTGAGTAGTTTTTAAATATCAAACAGGCCTTCCAAAAGGTCATTTTAATGCGGCCGATTTTCTCTCTTTTGCAATAATTTTGCTATAGCCCTCACTGCTCTAGCAAATTGTTCACCCTTTCCAAGTGTGAATTCTATGTTATGTATGATTGTGCCAAAGATAATAAGATATATCAAGTTTGAAATAGGTTACAGAAGTCATTAATATTCATCAATTGGTATCAAGAATATACTAAGTATCATTCTAACAAGTAATAAAATCATATTCACCTGCTTCACTGCAACTTCAAAATAATTTTCATACTGGATTTTTACTATACAATTCTTCAGAGAATGTGAAAAATTGGTATATTTAAAATAATAAAAAAAAATTGAGAATTTTTGAGCATTTAGAGTTGCAAATGTCACAATAAAGCTTAGAAACTCGATGCAACAACTTTCTGAAGGATATCAAAGAGAACATGGGTGCTTAATGGTCTCTCAAGTGTTTCATCCATTACAATGACAAAGTACTTGTGAAGACCATAATCTTTCTGTCATGTACAACATGAGTCATGTACTTAATTAGGTAATTCGGTCTAGTCACATCCTCAAATGGAATGAGAACTTGTGAATTTAACACAACCACATTCTAGAACAAATGCAGTGTATTTTCATAATGCTTGAGAAACTACCCAAACAAATTCCTATCTTTAATCAAATCATTTATTTTGTCAAAAGGAAAAAAAAAATTTCAAAAAGAAAAGAAATTCATATTTTGTTTCTCAATCGGATGCAATTATTCTTTATTATGAAAGCCAAATCGATCGTGTCAGAAATAGTAATGCAATCGCCTTGGAAAGAAAAGAAATAAATCTTAAGAAGGGAAAAAGATAGCTAATCCAAGCTAGAAAAATAGTTTAACATTCACAACTCAATCCCAAAAAAGAAAGGTAAAAAAAGTGTTTTAGTATACTAAGAGTCCGTTTGGTATTGCTTCTTTACTGCATAAAAGCGTTTTTATTTTAAAAAATTGCATTTAAATGCGTTTGGTAACCATTTACCAAATTTAGCTCAATAGAACGATTGAATGAAGTTAGAATTTGTAACTTTTAAAACTCCTTTATGAATAATGAATATTTTAGATAATTCTTTTTTACTATTCAATTATATCTTTTTTAACTTTTATAATGACAAATACACTCATTTCTTAAAAGAGTTATTATCAATTATGGTAAGAGCATCTCCAATGGGGCTGTCATATGGGCTGCCAATTCAAAATATAGCAAGTTGGCTTGAAACAGGGCTCTCCAATGCAATGCTATTTTGGCTGCTATTTTTTAACTTTGCTATTTCTTATGCCAATTGTAGTACAAGAAATAGCAGTAGCCATTTCAGAGAGAGAGAGAGAGAGAGGGTTTCAAATATATATATATATATATATATATATATATATATATATATATATATATACTATGTGTGTATATATATATATATATATTTAAAAAAGATCATAAAAAATTTCACAAAATAGTATTTAGTTTGCAAAACAAGAATTACAGACCTTGATCATAAAATAGAATTACAGAAAAAAAAATTAAAACAAAACCCATACATACAAGTTAGCAGTTGTAGAGAAAGAGAGGGAAGCAAGCTTGAGACAGCAGCTGAAGCTTGCGAACGCGAACCCGAACTGGAATAGCGGGATATGGAAACTGAAAGATATGGGTTTTGATTTTTTGAACAATCTGAAATGATATGGCGGATATGGATTTTGGTATAGCTAATAGGTTTTGGATTTTTGATTCTTGTAGACAGTAAGATAAAGTTAAATATGTGGGTTTTGAACATCTAATTCTTGTAGATTTTGTAGTTTGCGGTGGCACAGAGAGAGAGGGGCAATTTCAGAGTTGTGAACGAGTGAATAGAGATGGAGGCGATTTGTGAGGCTGAAATGATTTGCCCTAAAACTATATATATTTGGGAGGCTAAAATGATTTGCCCTAAATATATATATCTATTTTTAATATTAATATAATCAAATATATATAATATACATATATATATATATATATATATATATATTATATAAATTTCCAAAAAAGATAAAAATATTATATATATAAAAAATTTATATAATAATATAATCAATATATATATATATATATATATATATATATATATATATATATATATATATATTGGTCCTTTTTTGACCAGATATTTTAGTTTTTTTAATTCTTTTTAATTAAGTTTAATTTTAGTTTCCTTCTAATGTCTACAACTTGACTTACAATGTGCCTAATATTAACATTACTAATGCAAATATGAATGGTGGGAATGGTAGTTAAAAAAGAATAGTAGTTGTGTTAAAAAATAACATTTTTATCATTGGAGCAGAATTGTTAAAATGTTGCATTTTAACACTGTAGCACTGTCAAAATATAGATTTAGCATCCGAATTTGACATTTTAGCATTGGAGATGCTCTAACATACTATTAAAGAATATTATTGTAAAATTAGCAATAGAATTATTTAAAAAAATATTAGTGCAAAATAAATCACAACTTTTTGATAGCTCTATTGATCAAAAAGCCCCAAACTGGATATATTGATAATACATAAAAGGCTGCTAAATACAACTTGGAACAATCCTTTTATAAGCCCCATGTCCGGAAAAGATTTAATCATAACCCTTCCTATAAATATAATCTATTCTGTCCAATAGAATAAAATATGTTAAAATTGACAAAACTACCCTTAAGTGGTCACTTTACTCAGACACGTTACTCATTAAATAAAAATGAAATGACAAAAATTTCCCAACTAAAAATTAAGGCAAATATTAAACAGAAAATTATAAAAGATTTATGACTTTAATTTAATGACTTAAATCCAATAAACAATGGTTCTCCTATTAATGCAACCTCAGTCTAGTCTTCTTGGGATCTTCAATTGTTTGAAGAAAGTTGTATTCCATTTGCACTGCATCAAATAGTCTATATATAACATATAGTATATATATAATATATTTGTAAATAATATAATCAGACGGAATTTGCTATACAATTGATCGAATTTTTCAGGTCCTAATCTGTTAATTAAATCAAAACGAACTAATTTCTACTTAATAAATTTATAACCAAACAGTTTGATTAAAAATCCGATTTGTATTGCACATATAATAGTTTCGAACCGATTTTACAATTTGGCGGATTAAATAAAACACTCCTAGCATCCGTAATCATGTTTTGAATATTTCTGTCACCCGGTTAACCCGATTCATTTTTCAATTCAATTCAAGATACGTTTTACTCGATAGTTTCCCCAATTTATCATTTATTATTATTATTATTATTATTATTAATATAAATATCAACTTTTCATGCTAACCGATAATATATATATATATACACACACGTGTGTGTATATATATATATATGTACGTTTTAGAGAGTGACGAGACGAGGAAATAAAACCCTGGACTCATCCTTGTTCGATTAGGATTCTAAGAATTTTCCTCTAAAATTGGTTTCTGAATAGGAAAAGAATTTATCACTACATATACAGGTCAGTAGAGCGTTATCTCTTTACTCATTGTTGATCTGTTGGTTATCATCGCCAATTGTGAAGTTTAAGATTATTGCAGAAATCAGGTGAGTAGTTGTGATTATATTAGCTGACATTCATATGCTTGAATAAATTCATGTATCATATATAACTCTCTTTTTTTCTTTTTCTTTTTTTTATATGTAAATTGATAACTACATATTTTACACATTATATGTAAATTGATCACACCTATAACTAATTCAAACTATTTGTTTTTTTTTTAATAATTTATTTTAAAATCTTGAATGTTTGTTCGAATTTTTGCCAATTAATCGATTATGGTAGACATGAGCTAAGTTACTGCGATTGTTTGCAGTGCTATTGGTAATGGATATAGGCTCATTATCAAAGTCAGATTGGTCCTGGCTTCCGAAGCACTTGTTGGATATGATTCTAGACAACTTGGTTTCGCTTTGGTGCGGTCCGTAAACAATGGCGGTCCGTGGCAATGCAAAACAAAGTTCAATTCCTTGAAAGGAAGGCTTGCAGACAAGTTCCATTCTTGATGGTCCCCATGGAAGATAATAGCAATGAAAGACGTAGTCTATATTGAATCACTCACAATAAACTATATGATTTTCAATTAAAAGTACCTTACAAAAAGAGGCTTTCTGGTATATGGTTGGCTGTTTACTGTTGAAGAATCTTTTGCCTTAACCCTAATCAATCCGTTCTCTGGCGATAACATGCAACTTCCTCCAATTATGGACCGTGCAGAATTCGACCGGGTTGAAGATCATATAGAGATCGACCTCGAAGACGGCTATTATGACACAACTCCTATTGAAGATGAGGTTGAGTATTTTGTTATGAAGGCTATATTTTCTACCAACCCTACTTTGTCTCCCAATGACTATATTGTTAGCGCCATCTATAGTGATAATGCAAGACTTGCATTCTTTCAACCCGGAGACACAACTTGGACTTACATAGATAAAGAGAGATTTATCCTCATTTATGATGTTATATATTATAAAGGACAGATTTTTGCGGTTGATCATTGGAGTCAAATCATAATGGTTGATCTTAACAAAAGGGTTGGGGAGAGTAAGGCTCCGCAAGTGAAGGTAATTGCACCGCGGAATGAAGTGGCATTTGAACGGACTTATCTTGTCGAATCATCTAGTGGGGATTTACTTTTTGTGCAAAGGTTTATAGGATGTGATGATGATAATGATTGTCAACATACAACTTCAAAGTTTAAGGTTTTCAAGTTGCTCTTAGAGCAACTTGAGGAGGGTTGGCCTAAACAGGTTGAATTGAAGAGCTTGGGTGGAGACTCCCTATTTCTGGAAGATAACCATTCAATTTGTGTTTCAGCTTCCAAATGGCCCGGCTGCCAGCCAAATTCCATATACTATAGCGATGATTATATTGACATACAATTCCATCCCCCATCTAGGCATTGTGACATTGATATTTTCAACGTAGAGAATGGAAGCTTTGGGACGCATTACACTCTTGACCCTTCACATAAGCATATGCCACCCTCAATTTGGATTGTGCCAACTATGTTAGGAAATTGACTGTAGACTCAATTTCTCGAGTGTCTTTTAGTTGAATCCGATTTTTTTATTTTTCATTTTTATGTGCTATTAACACAAACCTATTTTTTCCTCCTGTCTATTTGTCACTTATATTAACATGTAAGATCATGTTTGTGAGAATTATAAGTAAAGTTCTCATAATCTCTTTATGGTCATAAAATATGACAAGATTGAATTCATTTTTTATTTTTTATTTTGTCGTTTGGTAACGAGGAAATACTCGTCTTTTTTCCCTGTCTGCTCATGAATTATATTCCATAAAACCAGGGTTGGAAACACTTGAACATTATTTTTGGTGTTTGATCTCCTGGGATTGAGCATTATTTTGGTAACAAGGAAGTACTTGATTGTTTGCTAACACATGAAATGAAGCGGCAAGAGAACGAACTTTTTAAAACCACCACACAACCATTAAAACATGCCATAAGAAGCATTCCAACTTTTTTTAAAAAAAAAAAAAAAAATGTCACAACATTGAATATACAATTCTGTAACTCTAAAATGTATTTATACATAACAGAATACATGATTTAATAAACGGTTTTGGGAGTAACTATTCTAAATGGGATTGAAGAACGCGTTCCCCGCCCCATTGCCATCCTTTAGTATAATGGTAAAATTTCATAAACCTAAACTCAAATCAAATAATAATAATAATCATAACAACTTTAAACCAAAAAAAGAAAGGAAAAGAATCAACATAGAAAATTGAATAATGGTTCAAGTTTTGCTTAATCAAAATTTAAAACCACCACACAACCAATAAAACATGCCATAAGAAGCATTCCAACTTTTTTTAAAAAAAACCCAAGCCTTTATCACCATGTAATATTTACCTGAAAATCTGTCACAACATTGAAAATACAATTCTGGAACTCTAAAATGTATTTATACACAACAGAATACAAGATTTATACGTATACCACAGTTATTCTCCACACTTTTCTGTTATAAATCTTCATTGTACTGCAACTGCTACTCCACATACAATGCAAGTCTCTAGGGAGGATTTGGCAAGCCAAGAGAAGCCTGGATCATTCCGCTTCAACACTAAAGAAGTTTCCGTCTTCCCAATTCCATCCAACGCAACATCTTCATGGAAACCAATCAATGAAAGAATCTCCATGGCAGCTGTAAATCACAAAAATCAGAAAACAAGCATTGTTCAAATGGCATTTAAAGAACAGACACTTTTAGTTGAAACATCGGCCAGCATGATTTAAGGTTTGGATGGACCTTCTAGGATGCATTGGCATTTTCAAGATAAAATCGAATCGAGTGTAATGGAAATAGAATTTTAGTTGATAAATCTTGAAGCGAGACATGTCCCACATTAAACAAATGAAACTAGATGGTTCAATTAAATGAATTCTTGTTTTGGCTACAACTATTATGGATGACTTGACAATTCCAATTTGAATTGACATTGTCAAACAGAACAACGAAATCGCATTTAGTTTTGGGACATTCATGCATTCAATTAATTCAAAATTTTAAGATTGAGAAGAGAGGCAAACCTTTATAATTTGCAGCATGTCTTTGAATTATGGGATTAGCCTGCAGTACATAATCCATTAACATAAGAAGATTGATGAGCAAAATGTGATATTTAAAACAAAAAATCAAGGGGAAAAAATATATGTTATTATGGATGACATGGAAATACCGTACCGTGCGGAGTCTTTTGAATTTCGTTTTATCTGGGCTTTCAAAGACATTCCTGCATAGAGAAAATAAATTACAACTTTTGTCAACAACAAAATGGGTTAACAACTAGGACAGTTTCACAAAGAATATGTAATACAAGTTGTACAAGTTTACCAAATTATCTTTAAAAAAAATTGCAAGACTGTGCCAGCCTCCAAAGGATAAACTTCAGATCGCAACATCTTAATGGCCTTCTGCAGACGACTACAAAAGACAGTAACAGGGTCTTGAATTCTCTGTAATTCTTCATCATCAGGATCAAGTTCATCAGTCTGCATTCTAGAAATTCCCTGCCCAGGTGCCAAATCATCATCAGGGTCAGGCTCAGCCCATGAAACTCCATTGGCCTGAGAAACATCAGGATCAGGTACTTGACATGACTCAGTTATTAACTTATTGCCAACTTTCTTTCGGCTGTCAAAGGAGGTACAGTCTGTGCCATCTCAACAGCATCACGATCTGATTCCGAGGAGATCCTGTTTTCCATGGATTCTAAATGTGGTTCAGTAACCATAGATTCACCACCCTCGGTATCATCAAAGTAGGGCTCCAACTTTTTCTGACTCTTGTAGCAGTCAACAGGATCAGGCTCGTCAATGCATTTCAACTGAGCATTGTTTTGCTTTTTAATATCCATTCTTTCTTTATCCACAGCTTCCATATGATCAGGTTCTTCATCAGTACCAAACCCAGAATCATCTTGGTCCCCTTCTGAATGTATGTTAGTAGATGCATCTGCTACATGGCAGTAAGCAGCAGCCACTGAAGATGTACGAGCATTAGCCAGCTCAACTGATGTGTTCTCCCCAAGCTTTTGAGATGAATTGCTATTGCTATCAGCATAAAACTCCTCTTCATAACGTTCTGAGTTC